CAGCTGGGCCATGGGGGCCGTCCACAAGCCTGCAGGAGCTGAGGCCACCGGCTCCACTGCCTGCAGGAGCCACAAGGTCACGGGTGACAGGGTCACAGAGAGGAAGGGCAGGGCTGAAAAATGGGAAGCTGGACAAGGGCCAGCCACGGGCCAGGCAGGACCACGGGATCCCCACCAGAACAGGACCTCAGGCAGGCCGCTCCTTCTCCAGACCCTGATTGGCTCCCCGTCACCTCCCGGGAGCCAAGTGGGCAAACTGCAGAAGCAGCTCCCAGCTGGCACCAGCATCCTGGGAGGGGGAGTGTGCTGGAACCAGAACCAGAACTAGAGCCGGAACTGGAACCAGAACCAGCTGCTCTCTTTTTATAATACATCCCTCTTGGCCAGGGCTGCAGGGCCACCTCAGTGAAGGCTTGGCCGACAGGGTCCTCAGTGGCGCCTTCTCCTTGGGGGAAGGAGTGCTCCTAGCCTGGGTCTCCAAGGGTGGGAGCAGGGTACCACTGCCCTGTAGGGCTCCTTCTCGAGACCTGGGGTAGCTCAAGGCTGTTGGCTGTGCCCTATAAGAGCCGAGAGGACCCAGCTCCTGCCTACAGGCCTCCTGTGTGGCCTCTGCCCCAAAGCCTCCCTCCTCCAGTGGGAGCTGGGCACAGCTGTCCTGGCTGGACTCCCTCCAAGCAGCATCAGGGCCCAGGGAGCTCTCCCTGCTGAGGCCCCAAGCACCTGCTGATGGCTGCTGCTGGGGCCCCTACTCCTCAGACCCCAAATGGCTGTGGGCCTGTGTAGCCCTCCACAATTTCCCTGACACACCAAGTTGTCTTGTCAAAGGCAGTTCACTGACGCCAGGAAGAGGCCACCAGCAGAACTCATTCATTACTTCAACTCCATAACTCAATCATTTATTCAGCGAACATTGGCCTAATGTCTAGATGTGCCAGGGCCTGGGAAGGGGGAAGTTGACAAGGCCCCACCTCAGGTACTGCACTGAACAGCCCTGTGCACTGCTCTCAAATGACCTGAACCCTTCTTGGGAGGTGCAGCCCTTTGTCCTGGGGGCAGTGACCACTGTCTGGGCTTCCACACTGGCCAGGGAGGCACAGGAGGTGGCCATGGCCTTGGCATTTGTTGTAGACGTCCATATGTTGGTCCTGGTTGGTGCAGAACGTTTTCATCCCTCACTCCCTGGGGCTTGTTAAGTGGGACTAAGGACATTGAAAGTCCTCAGCTTTCCAAGTGGACCTTTTGACTTGGGGCCAACTGCAGAGACGACTGCTGAGGAAGCGTGTTCGCCCAATCAAGACATCCCACAGTCCCTGTGGAACCACATCAGGAACGCACCCCCATTTTCCACTGTCCCCAATTGCTGTGCCTTCCCTCTCAGGGGCTGGGAATGTAAGGAAGTGTGCCTTTGCCTCAGTCCGTGCCGAAGCTAGAACAGGAAATGAGACTTCGTTACAGGAGTATGTTCAGGGACAGGGTGATGAGTGTGGGGTTGTGGCACACTGTTGTTCTCAGAGAGACAGGGCCCATCCAGGCTCTCCACAGTCCATCCTCTCCACGGTCCACCCTCTTCCTAGTCCATCCTCTCCACGGTCCATCCTCTCCACGGTCCATCCTCTCCACGGTCCATCCTCTCCACGGTCCACCCTCTCCACGGTCCACCCTCTCCAAGGTCCACCCTCTCCAAGGTCCACCCTCTCCAAGGTCCATCCTCTCCACGGTCCATCCTCTCCACGGTCCATCCTCTCCACGGTCCATCCTCTCCACGGTCCATCCTCTCCACGGTCCATCCTCTCCACGGTCCACCCTCTTCCTAGTCCATCCTCTCCACGGTCCATCCTCTCCACGGTCCATCCTCTCCACGGTCCATCCTCTCCACGGTCCACCCTCTCCACGGCCCACCCTCTCCAAGGTCCACCCTCTCCACGGTCCACCCTCTCCACGGTCCACCCTCTCCAAGGTCCACCCTCTCCAAGGTCCACCCTCTCCATGGTCCACCCTTTCCACGGTCTGTCCTCTCCACGGTCCGTCCTCTCCATGGTCTGTCCTCTCCCTGACAACACACCAGCTGTCGGACACCCACCTGTGTGTGGAGAGACCTCACCTGGCACCCTGGCAATCTCAGGATCCTCTCAGAGGCAGCCACTGGGGCTCCTGTCTCCTGCTATGGATGATCCCTTCCCCCAGGGCGCCATCCTTGCTTCCCTCTCCCGGGCTCTGGTCTTCTGCTTTCCCCACCCTGAGGGCTTTTGTTCAGGGACCGGGGGTGCGAGTAGCAGCGGCCTGAGAGTGCAGGCACCGTCCTGCCAGGGCCATGCGTGTTTTGGGAACTCCCCAGAGGATGCTGCCATGGCAGGCATGGAGGTGGGTGCTCCAGTTCCCCAGTCTCCTTGGCTGGACCCCTGCCGTCAACTGGGACCCCTGGTCTCAGCTCTGGCTGCCTCTGGGGAAAAGCCAATGCTGTCAGAGTCCCAAGAGCAGGTTTGGTGGTGGGCAGCCCTGTCTGGCACGGAAAGAGCCCCACTGCCCGGTCAAGCATAGGCCCATGTGGGGGTGTGGCTCCACTCCCCAACGGGGCTCCTCACAGGGACAGGTATCTAGTGGGTCCCCCTCATCCCCTGAAATCTCCCTCAGTCCTCTCCCCCCTCAGTGTTGGTCACAGAAATTCCTTTAGCAAAGGCTGCACTTGGGGCCCTGTTTGGCTCTGGGGTGCTCTGCTAGAGGAGGCCCACCGGAGGGAGATGGGTAAAAGCAGAGGCCGAGGAATTTAGGCAGGCGTGGCTGTGGCCAAGGACGGGAGGGCATGGCTGTGGCCAAGGACAGGAGGGCAGGCGCGGGCGCGAGTGTGGGCAGGACTGCGCAGGCTCCGCTGGCTCCTCCTTCCATCCCTGTTTACTTAACGCGCCTCTCCAGCCCTCTGCCCAGAGCAGCTAACACCGTTAGTATTTGTCTAACACTTTAGGACATAATCTGGGCTAAGGGGTTGACAAGAGCTCGTTCATTTCATTGCCAGCAAATCTTGAGCAAGTTCTCATTTCTTTCCTCTCTTAGAAAGATGAGAAACAAGGGGCGTGGTGCGACAGGGGCCTGGCCGTGAGTGGTGTGGAGCCTGGGTTGGCCCTGGGGAGCACTGGCTGCAGCTCCCAGTCCCTGGGTGCACTGCGGCCTGCTCCCCTGACCCTCCCCAGCTACCCCTGCAGCTCCTGGTGCACACGGTGGAACGAGGTGGTGAATACCAAATGACCCGGCACCCGTGTCCCTGCCAGGATCCCGGATTGCCAACAGGACTGCATTGGCATCCACTCAAAGAGGGGCCAGGGGACCCTGGGGAGAGGCCCAAAGCACCCCTATCTTGGAAATCCAAGGGACAGCCCTCACCCAGGTACTTTGACCCTGCCTCTTGGCCCCTGGGTGGGGAGGGGTTAGAGGAGCTTCCAGCCGTCATGGAAGTGGCCAACACACTTTTGGCCCACGGGGTCGCAGGCCGCATGACTCAGCTGAACCAGACGATGACACCTGAGGCCAGGCTTCTCCACGGGAGGGCAGGAGGTGGCCCTTGGTCAGCGCCCCAGCCCGCGAGGCATCTGAGACAACGCCTTCTCACGGGTGAGTACGAGACGGAGGCATGGGCCCAGGTGCAGAGACCCGGACAGAGAGGCCTGGGGCTCAGTGGAGGGTGCGCTGCCTGGTCTCGGTAGGGGGAGTGTGCACTGCGGCTGGGACCCACCTGCCCTCCTGCAGACAGCATGCTGGGAACACCCGCGGCACTTCCCAGGACTCAGGAGCCGCTCGTCCAGAAGAGGCCGCGTCATCAGGAAGCCAAGGTGTGGGCTGTGTCCTCAGGGAGATGCCAGACACTTGCGAGGCGCTGAGGCTGCAGAGGCCTGTCTCTCCAGAGACCCAGACCCGACAGGGCCAGGGCACCTCTCCCCAGGATGCTGCCAGGCAGCAGAAAGCTGCTCCCGCTTTGCCAGCACAGGAGCTATTGCGGCCCAGGAGGGCGCGTGGAGCTCCAACTGCGACCCCATCGGCTTCTCTCTGCTGCAGTCACGTGGGTGCCTAGCACAGCATCCCGCTATCAGAGACCCCTTCTTCCAGGACAGGAATCCCATAACCAAATTGTGCATGAAACTCGAGCAACTATCTCCAGTGGGAGGGTCCCGGGCCACTTTCCCTAAATACCAAGAGTGGAATCGGGATGCCCTTCTGCTGCAATGAGCTCCCCAAGGAGTCCCGTTGCCTCAGCCTGATTCTGGCAAGGACAGTGCCTTTCTCAACATGCATGTGCACACGTACGTGCCAGGCATGGGAGGGAAGTCGGCCCAGAATTTATGCAGCCCCTCTCCCCAAGGAGTCCAAGTCTTACCCGTCCCATCATTCCAGCCTTTTATATACTCATTACAGTGGTTTGGGAAACATTTCAAAATTAGACAAGCATTAGCTTAGCTTATAAAATTAAAAATAAACTGTAACAGCTTTAATGATGTTGTATTAAATGCCAGGCTTAATAATACCTCACATTTCTTTAATACTTTATGGCTTTAAACACACTTTTAAATAACTTCTCATCTTGTACAATTTTCAAAACAACCCCATCTGGCAAGACATTAGGAGTTGCTGGCCGTCTCTCACCCTGGGCGTCTGGTGGCTTGGGGCTGGGCCAGGCTAGGCTGCTCCAGCCCCCTGCTAAGGGCTGCGGTGTACGCCTGGGGACCGAGGCCCGTGGTCTGATGGCGATTCCCCCACCTGCCACAGTGGGTCCTTCGGGGAGAAAACAGGCAAATCCCTTGCGCCAACAAGCTGCCTCTTAACATCGCCCCTCACGTGGGCTTCACGTCTGGCTCTGGGTCCCCGTGGCTCACCAGGGACTCACTTACTGCACTGTGGCTGCTCCCACAAACCCCATCTCTTTTCACTCTCACCGGGCCGGCAGGGAGGTGCTGCCCTCCCCGTTTACAAGGAACAACGCCGTCCTCGGGGGCATTGCATCAGGGCCTGCCGGCCCAGCCCCGAGCTGGGTGTACGACTTAGACGCCCTCCTGCCCAGACTCACAGTTTGTGGCCAGCCCTCCACGTGCCTACCTGGAACACCCTGTGTGTCCCCTGCTCAGTCCCTTCATGGCAGATTCTCGACTTCACTCCCCGGCAGGTCTCTCTGCCTGTCTGCCTGACTGCCCCTTCCTCCATGGCCAAGGGCCCTTAGCGGCCGGCGGGGCCGGGCCCCACCCGTGCATCTGTGAAATGGGCGTGGGGAGTCTTTGGCAGGGTCTCTGTCTTTGCCTGTACGTTTATTTCTTTGCTTTAATGACATCCCTTTTTATTCCAGACACTTTGACTCTCTGGTCAGATTTCAGGTTAATTTCCGATTACCCAGCTTATAATCTTTGGACTGTGCGAGTTATAAAGAGGGTCCTTATCATTCTTATGAGGAATATTTTGCCGATTATAATGCTGGAACTGAAGATTTACAATTTTGTGAATATCTTTAGTCATTCCAGTATAACAATATCCTGCAAGATCATAGATTTTTTAGTATAAAATAAAATAGACTAATATAATCTGTTTACTTGGTGGATAAATGATTCAGATAGGCTTTCAAAATATCTGTGTAATTATCTGAGTGGCGAAGCAATGTTTTAATCCATATCAGAGCATAGATTTATTTTAGTTTGTTATAAATGCTTAGCAAATGCAGGCTAGTTTATAATCCTTTCCACTCCCCAGATCAATATGGTCTTTGCAACACAGGGATTACAACATCATTTAACAATAAATTCAAACCCAAAGTAACATCAGGGTCTAAGCCAATCAAATTGAGTATTAACCTCTCAAATAATGTTAAGAAGCCTCCTACAACCCATTTCTGATGACTAAAAAATATGAGCATATATTTTCTAAAACTATGTGCGTCTTACTCATTTTTGTTAGATTTGAATGGTTTCTTTTTTCACAGAATAAGCTTGTCCCTTATTTGTTTTTGCTGTTTTGCTTTTCCTTGGAATTTTCACTATTTCATTTTTTGAATAAGTTTTTTTTTTATTTAGAACAGTGATGGATTTATAAAAAAACAAATACATATGTGTGAAGAAAGTATAAAATGTTCCCAGGTACCCCACGCTCACTTTCACAATCTGAGATCATACCTCCGTACGGCGAGGTCTGCTGCCGGCCGCCCAGTGTTGTCCACTCTCATCGCCCAACGTCCATGCGTTATTCCGGGCTTAGCTGGCACCGACGTCCTCTTTCTCGCTGCTGAACGCCCTCTGGACCCTGCAGTAAACTTAGCTGCCGTGTCCGTCGAGGCCGCTCTGGGCTGTGACAGGTTCTCAGACTTTCCTTCTTGTGGACCTTGGCAGTTTGAGGAGCTCGGTCAATTGTGTTTCAGAAAGTTCCTCCCAAGTTTCTCTGTTATTCCACTTGGTTCTGGCTTTGGACAGAAAGAACAAAAAGGGGAAGTGCTGCTTCCCCACGTCCCACGAACCATCCACGTGGCACGTGGGGAGCTGACTCCATCGCCTGGACGGGGTGGCTCTTTCCTTCTTGTGGACCTTGGCAGTTTGAGGAGCTCGGTCAATTGTGTTTCAGAAAGTTCCTCCCAAGTTTCTCTGTTATTCCACTTGGTTCTGGCTTTGGACAGAAAGAACAAAAAGGGGAAGTGCTGCTTCCCCACGTCCCACGAACCATCCACGTGGCACGTGGGGAGCTGACTCCATCGCCTGGACGGGGTGGCTCGTCAGGCTCCCTCACCGTAAGTCACCCGCATGCTCATGCATGACAGACTCCCCTCGTGCAGCCTCCACTTACGGAGAGCGGAGACGGTCGCATGTCCACCAGCTGCTGGGCCTCTACCTGAGTTATTAGAGAGTCTTCTCTTCTCCCAGGTACTTCCTTGCTCATTCTGTTTCACATGAGCCTGAAGGCAACATCGGTATTTGCTGTCCCCTGGATTTCAGCCCAGGCTATTTGTTATTTGTTGCCAATGTTGCTCTCGCTTTGGCCGGCGGGAGCTCTTCCAGGTGACTGTGTCCCGGTGTCACACTCATGGTTGTGTGTGTGTGTGTGTGTGTGCGCTTGTGGGTCTTAGTGCTTCCTTACTTTCTGGCACCAGAATGAGTGCCCAGCCCCGTGTAGCCTGCCCCGCCCCAGGCCCAGACCTTTCTCCAGGGAGCTGTGCTTTCACAGAGGGTGGTGATAGAAACCGGGCCCTCGATGCCTGCCGGGCGTCCTGGTGTGCCCCGCTTCCCTGCGAGCGTGAGAGAAGGGTGCGCGTGCTCACAGGTGTCTGCAAGTGTACCTCTGCGTGGCCATCCGTGTCTCGGAGGAGCTAGACAGGTGCTCACGCTGGGGCCCCGGCTCTGATGAGTCCAAGGCTCATGCTGCTCCTCCCTCTGCCTGTCTGTAGCCTCCTACTCCAGCTGGGAGAAACCTTCGCCTGACTTCACTCTGAGCACACGTGTGTTGTGCTCGTGTGTTCCGTGGGACACTGCCGTGTCAGCCAAAGCACAGTGCTCGTCACAGCCACTTTCATCCTGTAAACCTCTCTGGCTGCCAAGGTCACTGGGCTCAATGCCGCTGTCCCCATGGCCTTCAGTGAGGTTGCCCCGCACGATTAGAACAGTTCGATTCTGAGGTCACCGTCTTCATTTCATCCCGAGAGTCCTTGGTCTCAAGTGAGTTTTTAAAGTTTATATATTGTAAGGTTAAATTTTGTGCTGTAAGCTTCCATGGGATTTGATAAAGGCATGGTCACGTATCCGCCATTACTGTAGCACTCATCACTTATTATCCTGAAGGAATCCCTCTGCCATGTCTTTTCATGGATCCATAGTTATTTTATTGTGGAATAAAATGCTATTCGATAGATTCACTGCATTTCACTCATTCATTGAAGTACTGAAGGCCATCTTGCTTGTAGTATTTGGTGATTACAAGTAAAACTGCTATAAACATTTGCATGAGGGTATTTGTCTGTTTTTAGACATAGACTTTTAATTCACTTGGGTAAACATCAGCAGCGTATTTGCCGATCATATGGTAAGGCTACGTAAGCTTTGTAAGAAAGTTCCAAATTATCTTCCAAAGTGGCCATACCACTTAGTGTTGACAAGTAATTAGCATGCGTTTATGTCGCCCCGATCTTTGCCAGCAATTAGGATCGTCGTTTTAAAACTTTCAGCCAATGTACGTGTACAGTGGCTCGTGCAGTTTGCTCATTGACGATTCCCCCGGACAGATGGTGGAGAGCATGCTTGTGTTCATTTGCCATACGTAGATCTTCTTTTCTGAGGTATTTTCTAGATATTTTACCTGTTTCTTAATTGAGTTTCTTTTTTTTTTATTGTTGAGTTTTAAGAATTCATGCTTTTAAATTTGAGATACGAGTCTTTTATGAGGCGTGTTACAAATCCTTCCTCCCAGTCTGCGCTCTTGCTAATGCCTGTCACAGAGCAGGACGTTTTAATTTTAATACGATTCAAATGATCAATCTTTCTTTCCTTGATTACGTTTTGGTGTTATTTCTAAAACCGTATCACCAGGGCATGGTGGCGCCCGGCCTATGGTAAAACCGTATCACCAAACTTGAGGTCACGTGTAATTTTTTCATCATCATCTCCTGCACCTTCTTCTGGTCTTGTAAGTTTTTTCTTATGATTTCTATAGTTTTGTATTTCACAGTTAGATCTATCATTTCTTTTCAGTCATGCGAAAGTTGAAAGTCTGTGTCTAGGGTTTTTCCCCCCAATATAGAAATCCAAGTGTTACAGCACAATTTCTGGAAAAGAAGATCTTTTCTGTATTACATTTCATTGGCTCCTCTGTGAAGGATCGGTCGATGTATTTCTCTATGAGAGCCCATTGATCTGTGCGTCCATTCTTTTGCTGATAAAGCATTTCCTTGGTTATTGAAGCTTAAAAATAAGTCTTGAAATCAAGAACTAGAAATCTTCCAACTCGTTCTTTTGCAGTATTGTGCTAGCTATCCTGTGTCTGGCTTTTCCCATACACATTTCAGCTTGCTTGTCGATACCTACAAAACAGCTTGTGTGAATTTTCTTGGGGATTGTGCTGAATCTGTAGGTCAATCTGAGAGTAAGTGACATCTTAACGACATTGCGTCATTTGATGTATGTTTTCCTCATACAGATCCAGTGCACATGTTGTTAAATTTATATGTATTTTATGTATTGGTGCTATTGTAAATGGTACTGTTTTTAAATTTCGAATTACAGTTGTTCGGTGTTGGTATACAGAAAAGCAATTTTTTTTCACTTTTTTTATTAGCCTTCTTTCCTGTGGCCTCGCCATAATTGCTTATTAGTTTAAAGAAGTTTTCGGTTGCTGTTGATTCTTTTGGATTTTATACCTAGATAATGTCATGTCATCTCTGATAAAGACAATTTTCTTTTCTTTCAAATATACGTACTTCTAATTTCCTTTTCTTGTCTTATTGCACTAGTTAGGACAGTGTG